GCTGTGGGCTTCCCCCAGCCCCGCGGGTCTCTCTTGCTCACACACGTCACGGCACTGCCGCTCCGAGCTCACACCCAGCGCTGGCAGCCGCGACCCGACCCGACGGGAAAGCAGCTCCCCGGGCGGTAAGCAGCCCGGCTGGGCGGACTCGTGGCACACCGGGCCCCCCCACACTGCCAGGCCCCTGAGCCCTGCCCCGACCCCCTCCCCGGTGCTCTGTCCCCAGGTTTCACGTCCGGGCCCCCATGGCAGGCACGGCGGCAGCGGGGCAGTGGCGGACCCCGCGGGTGAACATGCAGGAGCACATGGCCATCGACTGAGTCCAGGACCCATCCGGCCCATCCGCCTCATTTCCGGCTACTTCCCGTGCTTCTCCCCCTTTGCCGAGCCCACCCTGAGCCCTCTGAACCCGGCGCCCTGCCACGGCGCCCACCGTCCGCTCTGCACCCCAGGTGCCGCCGGACCCGGGGCCAGAGGGAGACTCCTCCGACGACAGCAGTGAGTAGCGGTGGGGATGGGGGACACCCCGAGCTCAGCCCAGCGGGATGACCCTGGGGTGTCCCAGGCATCCGACCATAGGGGACGGGGCAGGAGGCACGTGCAGGCAGGGGCAGGTGGAGCTGAGCTGGGGTGGCCCTCCCTGTCCCGGCCCCTAGCTGCCCTGGGCACCCTGGAGTTCACGCTTCTCTTCGATGCGGACAGCAGCGCCCTGCACTGCACAGCTCACCGTGCCAAGGTGAGGATGGGGCGGGGTGCTGAGACGGGGCTGGGCTGGGCCTGGCCCACATCCAGTGTCTGTTCCCAGGGCCTCAAGCTGATGGCCTCGGGCTCTGTGAACACCTATGTCAAGGCCAACCTGCTACCAGGGGCCAGCAAGGTGAGGACCAGCCCCATGCCAGGCCCGGGCACCCACCTGGCCCCCTGGCTCGGGGGTCACGGGACAGATGGGGGTCCTATCAGGGAGGCATGGCAGGGAAGCAGGCCGGGCTCTAGGCCCGAGGAGGCCTGACTCACCTTGCCTGGCCCCCAGGCCAGCCAGCTTCGGACACGTACCGTTTGGGGCACACGGGGACCGGTCTGGGAGGAGACACTCACCTATCAGGGCTTCACCCGCCAGGACGCGGCACGCAAGACCCTGCGGTGAGCACCTGCGGTGCCACCAAGGGCCAGGGCAGGGGGATGGGCTGGCCTGGCCTGGCCGGGGTCTGACCTTGGCGGCCACCAGGCTGTGCGTGTGCGAGGACCCACGGCTGCGGTGACGGCGGCGGGCACCCCCCCTGGGGGAGCTGCGGGTGCCTCTGAGGAAGCTGGTGCCCAGCCGAGCCCGGAGCTTTGATGTCTGTCTGGAGAAGTGGAGGCTGGTGAGTGGGCCTGCAGGGCCAGGGACCTTGGGCGGGGGAGCCAGAGGGGGGGACAGGGAGGGTGACCAGGCTCTCCGCTGTTTCAGACCAAGAGGCCCAAGAGTCTGGACACGGCCCGCGGCATGTCCCTGTATGAGAAGGTGGGTAGGACTGCTGGTCGGAGCGGGCGTGGGGCTGGCAGGCAGGGCATGGCTGGTTGGTGGGTCCAGACCCAGATGGGCTTGGGGGAACTTGAGGCCACCACTCTCATGGGCTCACAGCCCCCCCAGGGAAGTTAGGCCCCCAGTGACTGGACAGATTGAGGGTAACTGCCTTGCCAGGGCACCCAGCAGAGCTGTGGGCACGGGGCATGCAAGCAAAGTCCCCAGGGACACGGCCAGACAGATCCAGGCCACTTTGAGGAGAGACTGAAACTGGTGGCATTTGTCCACCGAGGGGTGGGCGAGGCTGAAGAGAAAACAGATGGAGCGGGCTCTCTCGCTGTGAGGTCGGCCCCTGGGGTCAGGGTGGGCGCCGCTCCTGGGACGGTCCTAGACAGCCAGGGGGACTGCGGGCCTTTTTTGACCCCTTGAGAAACCAGACCTGGCCAGTCGTGTGGCCCCAAGTCAGGGGCCCCTCCAGGGGAGGTTGGGTCCCCGCCGGCCCCCCACACACAAAGGGCCAGACGCTCTGCCCCCTGGTGGAGCCCCGAGCCGCTGCAGTGCCGATTAGCTGAGTGGAGGTGGGTGAGACCCCACCCAGGGGGTGCAGACAGGCCCTTCGCCCAGAGAATACCCGCCTCTTGCCCCAGACCCCGCGTGGTGGGGCTCAACTGTGGGCAAGGGGGCTGGGCCTTCTGCCAACTGCAGCGGGAGGGACGCACATTCGGGACCTCTCCCCTGGTGTCTGCATCCTCCAGGGCCTGTCTGGGGGCCCTAGGGGCCGGGGGTGGCGAAGGCAGAAGGATCTGGGCCCAGGGCGCTGAGGGGTGAGGAGGGCGGGCTCTGCAGGCGAGGTCTGCCCACACTGGGGAGAGAAGACCCCCAGAACCACTTCGACGGGGGCTCGGCCACAGCCGCTGGCTGTGATGTCTGACGGGCAGCCACTGGGGAAGCTCCTGGCAAGCCGAGGGCCATCGGTTCCCTTCCCTCCCGGACAGACCTGCCGAACGGGCCAGACACATGGTCAGCAAGCCTCTCCTCTGGCCAGGCCCCGGAGGGCCCAGCTGACCCTTGAGGTCCCTTCCAGGGCACGCCCGTGGCTGTATGGGGAAGTCAAGTCATAGTTAACTGGCTGGCCTCGGTTTCTCTGCGGCTGGGTGGGGCTTCCCCGGTGGGGCGGCTTCACCCTGGTGGGGCGGCTTGGGCCGGGTGCG